AAACAGAAGATTTCCATTACTCGCTAAAGAGGAAGGACACTTTTATAACGGGATGGTATATTTGCTCTCTGAAATCAAAGGAAAAGCTGTGGGTGGCTTGTGGGGCTTTTGTACAGTACCCTCATTCATAGTAGAAGATGCATCTCGGTGCCTGAGAGATGCAATAATTTCAGTTGAGGTGATTCATTTCTCTATCTGTCTCCTATTGCCGGCTACAGTTGGTTATGTATGGAAATAGCTGAGATTTGTTTTTAATAATAGCATGCTAATCACACAGACTTATTCAGGCAACTTTTCTACTGGGCTGCACACTGGGGCTATTGAATCAGGCAGAAAACATGTCTAACTGGACTAGTAAAACAGAACACATGACACAGTTGAGAACTGTACTGACTCACCTTCAAGTCATAATAGGGAAGAATGTGTCTCACTTTTATGTCTGCAGATGTGACAGGAACTAGGCCAAGAGCATCAGGTGCCTGAAAGAATACAGCATTACAAACCCAGTAACACAGTGGAAAGGTTGCTTTTCACTGGCAACAATTCATCAGCACAGCTACTTGAAAATACAGGGAAATAATTCTGTGAACGCTTTGTTTGATATTTCTCCAGTCCCTTCTTGGATTTTGGTGTTTCAGTTGCTTTTTTATTTCTTTTCTTTTGCAAAATCACGTATTTTAACTAGCTCTGGCCATTAATATATTATTCAGAATTTTAGAACGTAATTAAGAGAATGCAAAGATTCTTAACTATTTTGGGCAGTACCTTCAGTAAATAAGAAGTCATGCACTAATTTGTTGCAACTCCAGAACACTAAGTCACATTATAAAGCTTTGATAAAAGCAGAGCTCGGCCTGGGGCCAACGTCTTCAACAAAATTCTCACTTGAGTGTTTGCTGCCATTTTAGGTACAGTACTTACCAAATCACTGCGCAGCTGGAGGGAACTGTCAGTGGGGAATTCAAAAGGTAAGATACGATCTTCAGATATGTTGGAAGAAATGCCCTTACACTCTTCAGCTTTCTCTGGTTTGCTGAAACTCCTGTTTTCTGTCATCAATAGAGAGAAAATGTTATGCTTTTGTAATATGCTTTTGTAATACACTGTTTGAAAAATAGACCAAGCCACAAAATAGGTATTTAACATCCTAAGACAAGATGTGTGTAGTCATTTTAATACGAAATGTAAGATAATCTTTCCTAAAGGCTTTAAATGCCACATCTACAAGATATCAGGCAGAATACCATGACTAGCAGACAGATCTGACTACATCTTTTCAAGCAAGTCATCACAGCCCACACCTTCCAGCACAGTCCTCTCTATCTGTTTTCACTCAGCAAGGTAGACTTAAGTCTGAAGGCCTGTCTTACACTGACTGCCATTACTCCTCCTACTTGAAGCACCCCTGCAGTTCCTGCAATGAGTTTTCCTGCACGCTGGGAATTAAAGAACCCTCACTTGCAGAAGCAGGAAAGGTCTGATATGGAAAGGCGTTTCAGCAGTTGTCAAATTGTGAGTGTATGAGGGAGTGGGATGCAAGAGACACAAACCTTCCTCTGTCCCCAGTATATCGAACTATGACTCCATCCAAGGACAATTTCCTTCTGTGACTGTTAAAGTGATTTTTCCAGGCCAGCACTTTCACTTCGCTAAGAAGAAATGAACCACTAACTTTCTCAGCTGAACAGGCCCAAAATCAAAGTCAGGTGAGGGTTTGCAAGCAGTTGTATGAGAAAAGGATATGGAGAAAAACTCAACCCAATACTGGCCACCTGGCTGTGTATCTCCTGGTTCCTGCTATCTCACTGCACTGAGTTCAAACATCTCGTCTTCATCATATTCAGGTGTCTTTCTCAGCTCCTCTTACCCCATGTCCCCAACTTCTCGGGCTCCACCTGTCCTGCTTACCTTAGAAGAAGTTAATCACATTTTAAAATCACTTTTAAAACAGATGTATTTTGACTGCAGCCATTTCTACCTTGCCACACTTCTCTTTTTTGCTTGAAGGCTCCTGTGCAGGGACTGTGCATTTATGTATGCAAGTGAGTTCAAATGTAATGCCTTTGACATGCTGCAGTACAACCCAAGCGATCAAAATTCATTGCCAAAATACCAGTTTGTTCTTTTACTCCTTACCAGACGCAGAGCTTTCCTCCAACCCTCTTGCTTCTCTGTTTAGCCCACGGAACAAAAGCAGCAAACGATTTAGCCGAATCTGAATCAGAATCTAAGAGAACGATCATGAATTTTAAAGTTTAATATTAAGTTGAGCAGTCTAAGATTTACAGCCATAACAATACACAATACTTACAACTATTTATTCTACAAAGGTCACTCATGCATCTCTATTTAAGAATTTTTGCTACAGTTTATTTTATCCCTCCAAGAGGGATAAAATGGGGAAGGAGAGACGTAGAATAGGTATTTACTCCACAGTGACCTCACACATCAAAAACAGAGCAACCATTTGTTTAGTCTTACAGTTTAATAGACTTTTTTTGATAGGCCAAAACCCTTCAGGTGTGTTTATCAGTATATACATATTTAACAGTGAGCAAACAGCCAATCGATCAGGGTCATACGAATACTTGTGGCTCTGTTAAATAGGAGAATAAGTAGCAACATGCAGTGTGTAATTTGCCCAGTGCTACGTATCACAAAGTGACAATGAAGATCCCTAGGTTTTAATACCAGAAGGGACTATTTAGCCACCTCATTATTTGCATGATACAGGACCTCTGTACTGAGCCTAATATTGTGGATTGTGGTAAGGAACAGATCTGAGAAAAATATCTAAACTGGATATTGAGAGTGCAGGAAATTTCCATATTGCTTGCTGCACTTGGATTTACTAGGAAAAGAGTAGTGGAAATGAAAGATATTTAAACCCAATGAGATAGCTGATTTTATTGATTTCATCTTTAGCTTCTCAAATAGAATAGAATAACCATAGAATAACTCAGGTTGGAAGAGACCTCAGGAGGTCTCTAGTCCAACCTCTTATTCCAAGTAGGGTAAGCTATGAGATCAGACCGTGTTGCTCAGGGCTTTATCCAGTCTGGTCCTCAAAACCTCCAAGGATGGAGACTGCAAAACCTCTCTGCACAACCTCATCCAATGCTTGACTGTCCTCATGGTGAGAAAGGTCTTTCTTATATACAGTCTACACCTCTCTCGCTTGAATTTACACCCGTTGTCTCTCATGGGCCCATCACGCACTGCTGCAAAAAGCCTGGTTCCATCTTTGATAAACTCCCTAGAGCTGCTGGCTGCCACAAGCTCTCCCCTGATGCCTTCTCTTCTCCAGGCTGAATAGGATCATCTTCTCCAGCAGCTCCTCAAAGGGCAAGTGCTCCAGGCCCCTGACCATCCTCGTGGCCCTGTGCTGAACTTGCTCCAGTTTATGAATGTTTTTCTCACACTGGGGCCCCAAACTGGATACAGTATTCTACATGCTTTTTAGAATCTTCTTCTCGTACAAAAGTATTTTTAACTTAACAAATTCTAAATTCAGTTCTTTTGAATTTGCTTCTTATCAATTGATTCTGAAAAAAAAAATCCTTAAGCAATAGTTGAAGACAAAACTTACCCCAGACCCTTATTTCCTGGTGAAGTAGGGACACATTTATCAAGCTATCAAATCCCTGGGTAGCTGTGAAGACCTCTTACGTGCTAGTTTGCATGCTTTTGTGATATCTCCAAGGTGTTATGCCATCCCACTGCTTTCTGGTTGTTCACATTACCTTGTAAGCTGCTTGTTGGAATTTCCTCAACATCCTGTTTCTCTTGTCCCAAAGGTCATTACGGAGCAAGTCAAATGTGGGATGGACACTTGGACGCTGCATAGTGGGGAGGGGAATGGGAAGGGGAAGGGGAAGGGCAAGAGGAAGGGAAAGGGGAAGGGGAAAAAAAGGGACACCCTTTTTAAAATTAGGTGAGGGAAGAACATCCTCCAGCCCAAGCTGTTCCTGGCCTGAATCCATACATTATTTCCTAACACTGAAATTAAGTCAGGTAAAAATGTTCAGCTGAATGATTTCCTTTCAGGGCCATGTCACCCTATTGCCTTTTAAACAGAAATCTTTACCACAGTGCTTCAGGGGGAGGTAATCATGAAATAGCTGCAGATGCCATATGGGGAATGCAGAGATAATGTAGAATAGTCTGCATCCACACATAAATGACAACCACACACTACAGCTGAAGTCCAATACATGTGCAGTTGGACAGTGGAGGGAATGAACCAAGTCTCTACTGAGTACACACTTCATCTTGCACAGATGTGAACCTAGAGTAGCTGTAGAGGCTCAGGCTGAGGGCCAGCAAACCCAGTGACCTGTCTCCAGTCATGGCTGATGGCACAGACCTACAGAAGGGTGAAAGACCAGCGTAAGCCTAGAGTGATAATTCCCCATAACAGTCTCCCAACATCTAGTGATGTCTGGCTCTGGGCGTACCTGAGACAGAGGTAATGTCTCTATAATTAATGCCTTGAATTGTCTGAATGCTCTTTGAACCCAAGTAAATCTCTTCCTTGATGTATGATTTCCTCTCCAGATTTAAACTGATGTGATAGAATAATGTGGGACTGGAAGGACCCTTTGGGTCCCAGAACACAGTTCCTCTCAACAAATGGGCAACTACTCAGCCAGCAATTAGATCAGGAAGGTCCTCAGAACACCAAATCCACACAACCACCTGCTGTGCCCCACCAAACAATTCTCAGCACTTCGTAACAGGCATGAGAGTACAGTGAAAGACCAGCTACTACAGCTACATGTTCCTGAGGAAGAAGGTAGCAAGGATTCCTTGTGTTGCTAAAATCCAAGGTTTCTTCAGTAGCAGAGTACTTATTAAACAAAGCTCTCGGATAATCCTAGGAAATTGATCCTAGGAAGTAGGATCACACTATAAAGAAAGACAAAAAAACCCTAATTACCACTAAGGTCCCTGCCGATCTGACCTGCAGATAAAGTTCTCAAATCTTGTGGTTGGCTTAATCCTATGTCTGGATATGAGAAAGCTGCTCCTGACAGAGCTCTCAGGAACAAGCAGCTTTAATCTCAGGTTAGGCCTGCAGATTTCCACTTGCCTCTCATATTAGAAGATCAGAACATCAGAAGATGAATTGTGCACATATCATGGTGCTCGCCATAATGTACTAGAAGAAAAGTCGTTAAATAAGACACTGACACAGAAACGGGGACGGACGTTAGGAGGAAAAGCATTCAGTGCCAAATTGCTAAAGCTGTTTGTTATCTTAGTAAGTGCTAGTAACATATAAACAAACCTGCTCAACAGGCCGGATAACACGTCTGAAAGAAACTTCTACTTTGTTCCTTTGAAACTCCTTTTCTATGATAGGATCTCCTCTTTGGATCTAATTTGCCATGAAGAAGAACAGTCACATTAGTGCAAAGTATTCAAGGAATTCTTTCTTTACTTACAATTAGTGGAAACTCACTTACAATGTAATGTTCTGGAGCTGGTTGACAAAACACAGACTTCATTCCCCTTCCAGGGAGCGATTATCGCAATGCTTTAGTAAATCAAACAAAGTAAATAATGTCTTTCTGGGCCCCGAGTTTCAATCAGGTCCCCACCCTAATGAAACACAGACCACTTTGCATAGCCAAAATCAGTGCAGAGAAGGGTTGCAGAAACAATGCTGTAAGTTGGCACCTAAACAGCCCTACATAAATTGCCTGCAGCTTTCCCATTTCTGTGAACTCTTGTTCTACCACGTTTTCCAAAGGTGCCTGCTCTCACATCTGCTCGTCTGTGAAACAGTTTACTGCTAGTATCACTTCACTTCTTTGAAACCCTCGTACTTTTGTGTGTTCAGACATACTGGATGAGTAGCAGAGCTTCTTTTTGTTCTATCATCTTCCATCTCAGTTCTCCTTACCTAGTTTTTGATTTCCTGGATACTACTATGTCTTAAACAAAACTCTTGGGGTTATCATGTGGAGTGAAATTCCCAGTATTTTGATGGGCTGAGGTTTTGGTTAGGGCAATAGAAGATAGACGAGCTAAAGGTCTCCAGGATGGCCACTCATATGGTGTTTGACATGAACCACTTGGGCAAATGATGGAAAGGTAATAAATACTCCCTGAAGCCTAAAGACACTCAAGGTGAACAAACTGACAGCAACAGCAAAGATATGCCTCTGTCTGAACGTTGTGAGGGCAACTGTGAAACCAGCCAGAGACCTCCACTGCCCCAAGGGCCAACAGGTAAGTAAATATATGTTTCCAAACAAAGTGAACAGATATCTAATTAAGTGACACAATGATCTCACATTTTAGATCCCTTTTCTTATTCATCTCCTTCTTTGTTAGTATTAATCATAACGTTTGAACTAATTCACAATGTGTGAACTAATTCACTCAGCGTGTATATTATGGCTTGACCCTATATATAAATAATTTCACTTTCAGAAACAGCTCCTGGGAAGTCAGTGGAATGTCAGAGGCTACTTGCATGTGAGAGCGGAGCCATAGCAAATTGAGGGAATAGGAGAGGCAAGTCCCTGAGTGCTGCGCCACTTGGGAGTAAACGGTTCTTGCCACCACCTGCTGCTGCTGTCACTTCCATGGAAAATGAGCCAGAGTCTGGGGTGACCGAAAGAAACCAAAGATAGGGAGGGCAAGGGTATAGAAGAGGCACCTGATAAAATATTTCACTATGGCTCTGTGTGATAGTACTGACCATGTTTACACCCGAGCCATTCAGGACATTAGCTCTTCAGAGCGGTACAATATACACAGAGGGTTGGATGCAGCCACAGCGCTGACAGGATTCAGCTGCATTGTTGCACTGTGATGTGGCTAGGTGCAAAACTACCAGGTTGGGAAAGTATTGGGTCACACTTCCATTAGTAATTTTCCTCTTGCCCACTTCCCCCAGGATAAAACCATCTCAGAAACAGTGATTTGCAGAAATAATAATGATTATTAACTGCAGGAAGAAGTACAACTAGTACAGGTTTGTACTGATGTATTAAAAAAACCCGAAAAGGTAAAGAACTTAATACTGTTCACTAGTGCACAGCATGTAGTCCAAAGTGTAAGTCTGATTTTAAATTTATAGAACTAACAGCAAAGACTAACCTTGTACTGTTCATCTTCCCTCTGTCGATTTTCAATAATCTCTTTTTTAAATTTCATGGACATTGGATCTTTGCCTTTATGAACTTGCCTGCATTTACAGTAGAGGAAAGAAAAATGCTTTACTTAACGTGCAGTTTGCTTATTTAAAGGAAAATGGACTAAGTCTCCTCTTCCTAAGGTGTCGAGAAGACCACAACATTCAGGGTAAGAGCAGTTCTGTGGACTGCAAATGAAACTGCGGTGTGCTTAAACACATGATTGTGCACTTTGCTTTACACTATTTGATGTACATATGTCATTCTATTCACTCTGTATTATATACATTTTAGTCCAGTTTCAACATTTATTGATAACCATGGCAAAAGCTCCCTTTGTCTTTTGGGACACAAAGAGGGAATACATGAGAATAAGGTTGGGAGAACGAGGTTTTCCACAGTTTTTTCTCTGAATGCAACCACAGTAAAATCAAAGACCTTATTCAGTACTACTACTACAGATTCCTCTTAGGCAGAAGTGAAAAAAATGAAAGTGAAGCAATAGTAACTTAAACGTAAGACAAACCCATCAAGACTTGCAATGGCAGCATTACACACTAGTAGATAACGCATACATCATTTATAGAAGCTTTAGTTAAGCAAACCCTAGTGTTGCTAATAACAGTGATTAACACTCACCACTTCAGATGATTTGCTTCCTCTTCCTGCACAGCTTGTTTAACTTTCAGTTCAAATACAGCTTCCTTCATCTGTCTTGTTTTTGTCCCTTCATTGCCTTGGCGAAGGACTGCAGGAATATTAAAAAGCCGTATCTTATGTCAAATCAGATTGAGTTTTTAACTGAGAAAAACATCCATTGTGATAACTGAACTTTTTAATGCACAAAGCTAAGGTGACATTTCCCAAAGAAACTACAACCACATGACCTCAATAATTCTGAAGCTGAGTTCCTCACTGGAAACCTATACAAAACGATAAGACCAAATTTATGCTGCTTAATTATGTTACCTTCTTTCAAGTCCTTAATCTTCAGTTTGCCTGGTTCCTGATTCAAAACAGTTGCCACAGCATATGGATTTGACAAGTCTGTGGGGAACCTGAGGTTTTGGTACTCAATTTCCTAAGAGATAAGAATTAATAGGGAGGAATAGAAGCAAGGACGAGTGTGAGTACTGAAAAGTACTTCTGATTATTATCTCTTCACACCTTTACTTTTTCAATAGGCCTGGATCGTGTTTGGCTGGACTGGTCTCTTCTCCACACCAGTGATCTCCCTGCAGGCACAGCTTTTTTCTTTGAAGGACTTCTTTGTTTTTCCAGTTCTTCTTTTCTAGATGCCAGAAGGACAGACATTGCTCTTATAAGTACTTTGCAAGTGGGATGTAAGTCTCGTACATACATTTACATCCCTTCCAGACACACAAAGGAGGCTGGAATTTTCCCTCTCAGATTTTGACTGGAACCAAACTTTCTAATCTCACTAACTTTGCAGTCTGCAAAATATTAGGTATAGGCCAAAAGATGCTCCACAAAACCTCTGTCTCGCAAGATCTCAGCAAGAAGAGTACAATATAGCAGATATAATAGAAGCTGAGGATGCTCAACACTTCTTTAGGGATATTTAACATCTTATTATTTTTATTTTGGTAGTTTCACTTCAACAGAGTCAGAGCATTCTGAGCAGATGATACGTCACCAAAAAAGCAGATACATGTATTAACATTTGAATGCCATTAGAGCATTTTAGGTCTCCATAGATACGAATGCTTAAAATGATTACAGTAAAGTGGCATGAAATCCTATTTCATGTGTATTTTTTAGAACGAACAAAAATATTCAAAGATCAGTCAGTCACACATACATTAGACCCAGATGGGGTGTTGATGTTCCTGTGAACACACATACATAGGGTTTTGAGAGAAACTGTGAAATCCACAACTGCATTTTCATGTGTGCTGTTCCATACTGAAGTGGAGAATATTTCACAGTTACTTCCACTTTCCCATTGCCTGGAATGATTCCTGTGATTAGAGGAGAAAAACAATGAGAATACCTCCCAGTGAGTCCATTCAAATATACTGAAATGGATGCTGGACTATATTTTTTAAACAGTATTAGTGTTTGAGTGGATGGCAGTAAGCCTGGAAAGTATTTCAGGTCTCAAAGCATGTTTCCAGAACTATCCGTTACCAAGTAATGGGAGATATTTTGCAATAGCAGGGAGATTTGACAGTAAGACTGCAAGAATATTTCCTACTGTTTTGAAAATGACAGAGACTGTTTATATGCAAAAATTCTTCACTTATATCTGCAACTCTCAATTTTCTGTTACTTTTTGGTTTCTTGAGCAAAGCATTATAAATACATTTCTCTGTGCTCTTTCAAGTTTGAGGAATGCTCCAGATTTGATACATTAGCTGCCTCTAGTGTGTCTTGCTTTCTTATTACCCATTCCATGATTTTCTCAAACCACTTTAACTCTTCCCTTTGTATCCCTGAACAGTCAGTGCAATCCCAGGATACTGCCCGTGATGCTTCTCAGTATTTCTGAAACAAGGAGTTTATTCAGTTCCTCATTAATGTCATACAATATTAATTTCTCATCTTTGTAAAGTGACCATTGCCTAGTTTTCTGCATCCTATAGTTTTAAAGAATAGCTAGTTTCGTTGTCTATTTTTTGTGGTGGAATTTGTTAGATTATTTGATTATTGCTGATTTGATTAGGGCTTGAGAGGGAGCCGACACTTCTGTGCGCTCCTTAGAGGGTTCTCAGCACCTCAGTGGATGACTGCTTAAAGTTTTTGGCTACCAACTTCTACTAGGTTGATTTTTTTCTGAGATTTTTTTGCCCACCAGAATTGAGCCAACTTGAAAATATGAATTAGTTCCAGCAACTGTGCTTGTGACTGTGCAAAAACCAAAATTCTTTTAATGAATTTTACACTTCATGCCCAGTTTTGCTCAATTGTAATGTTTTCCTTTTCCTCCCGTACAATTTCAACTTCTTAAAGCACACAGCAAGAACTCTTAAAGAATAACCAAAACCAAGGCAGTAACATAGCTCAGCTTCTTTGTGAACACCACATCTGATGGAGTCCAAATACTGCCTCTGAACTGGAGCATGAAAATCCATCCAAACTCAGAAAACTTGAAACAAAAAATCAGAATTAACATCAAAGCTGCCAGAGCTAAGTGCAAGATCCTGTTCCCCTAAGGTTTTCGCTAACCTGGAAAAAAAAAAAACCCAAAAAACCAGATCACATCAAAACATGATCTGAGGAATTATGTTCATTACAATGTTTAATAACTCAGCTGTCAGTATGGACGGCAACCTTCATGTGTAACGTTTCAAGAGCTTATCGTAGGTAAACACTATTGGAAACACAGAACTGACCACATCCAAAAAACTTCATATAAACATACTGATTCCTTTTATACCATGGGTAACACCATGCTTCTCAGTGGTGTTAACTAACATATCTGCAGCAGTAATTTTCTAGTGAGTACAACTTATGTTGCAGCATGATTAGCTAGATTAAATGGAGTAGAGTAATTCCCAACTTGACAAAAGCTTAATATCCTTGCCTCTAATTTGTAAAAGGTAGGAACTTTCAATTGCTGTATGCTTTTACCCATTCAGCTCCAATTACTACAATCACTTCTTCTATGCTAAAGACAAACCAGATCAGAAGGCTAACCCCTTTCCCCATGGAATTAAGGAGAGCAAGACTCTGTTGCTCAGTTTTGTAAATGACAGTGTATATATAACTTTAGAAATGGCTGGCAATTTAGTTACTCTGGAATTTATTTTATGTACCTATCATTGTTGGGGATCATCCAGATGATTGTCTGTTAAATCTCCAGCATCAAACTACCTGCATAATACTCTTCTGCACCGGAAACAGTAACAAACTGGGGAAAGATGAGGGTATGCTAATTTTCAGGACAGCTCATCTGGGCAAGTGGGACCCTACCTTTTCTACAAGCCCAGTCTAAAACACGCAGAGACACTGGACCAACATGGAAGAGATTTGTCTTCTCCCCAGGTGTCACATTTTGGCTTTTAGTACAGATGCAGATGATACAGCGCTTAATGGGAATCTGATAAGATAGCACACATTTATATCATTCTACATACAGGAGCAACAGCAAGTTTTATTAATGTGCATGAGTAATTGGAGTCTAAATTCCACTGTCATATATCATTTATGACGGTTTTTATTTATTTAGATCCTTATGTATCTGAGTGGAATTGACCAAAGTGCCCATGTGAATTAGGCAGCCAGGTCTCATTCACTCACACGCTTCTTTGAGATCCACTGGGCTCTTACATGCTTCTGTTGGCACCTGGCAAACACAACTATGAAAGTAACTGACCTGCAAATACTTATGCCTGCCTCAAGAGAGAGTCCTTGCCATCAATAGGCAGGAAAATCACTGACGGTACTGTAGCCAGAAGTCCCTGCCTCTTGTAAAGCCCTACACAGAGATGTAGACTGACTCTAGCATCTATTGCCATTCCAAGATACACCTGCAGCAATGCATTTTGTGCTCATGACTGTAACACGTCCTGAGGCAACAGACACAATTCTACTGAATTCTTCCAGACAACTAGGGAAATATGGGTACGCGAATATGTTTGATGGAGCAGAGGTCACCTTCTATTTTTCCTGTGTATCAGCAACAGGATCAACAGCAATGCACACATTTGCTACCATGGTCTTTGATAGCTGCTGTATTTCTTCAGTAGGAGAGGTTCGCAACATGCTGCAGATAAACTGGCTCTCCTGAGGCAGTGATTATTTCCGCTCTAAAACCTGGGTTTGATAATACCCAAGCAGCTCCAAAAGAGAAGTAAATCGTTTTCCAGCACTGAGTAGTGTCACACAGAGTCAGTGAGCCACTTGAGGGCCAGGCTTTGACCCCTCTTACTATACTTAACACAAATGTAAACATCGTCCATCATTTTATGGTATGAGGAAACATACAAAAAGCCTCCAGTCAAGGGACCTGACATATACCAGTCACAAAAAGACAGATATCTGGTCCCTTAATGGGCCAGGAACCACATTGTTCTTGGGGAAAGGAATGATAAACCAAACTCTGGGCCGTACCTTCTTGTTTGTTTCCTTTTCAAAGGCCTCCAGTGTGTGAAGAGAGCAGACAAAGGCTGGGTGACCTGTTTGGGAAGTTCCATATTTTGCAGGAGGTTCACAGTTGGGCAGGGAGGAAAGATACCTACCATCTGCAGAGGGCTATTTGCCATGAGGCTGCATATGACTAAGATTACCAGCCTGCGTTTAACCACAAACACTCCAGGGCAAAGGCTGTATCTTTTTAGATACATTTCTATACAACACTGAATAAATGGTCACAAGTAAATATACTCAGTAAATACGCATTTAACTTTTAGAATTTTAAATAAGTGCAAGCTACCAAATGTTGGCTGGACGGTGAAGGCTTTGTCACGCTGAATGAAATCAATGTGGAATTCAAAATCTATTGGACAGCTGCACTGCAAAGGTATAACATATTCCTTACTGAAAAAGAGAGAAAGGAAGAAGAAAGAATGAAACTGCAGTTGATCATCAATAGCTGGTTGGAAAATGATATTATACACAACACGCATTGAATCCTTACATTCTTACAAGCTGCATTATCTAGCAAACACAAACAATCCAAACTAGAGCAACAATAAGTACAGAATCAGAAATCAGGCTCCTCCCCATGGCCTTCCTTGTGGGAGAGGATGAGAGAAGACTCTAGTGTACAGTGTTCAAAAGTGCTGAATACTTTGACACATCAGCATGACTGGCCTTCAACCACTGCAAAAATAATGCTGCAGGGGCCTCATTTTCATAAAAATCCTTTAAGTCTCACTTTGGTTGTGTGAGGAGATATTAGAACACATCTTTTCATGCTGCCTAGCTTTTGTTTGAATCTATTTTCATGTACCAAGCTGAAACACAAGAGTTGGTATAACTCCATCCATCATCCTACAAATCAAGACTAATTTACCCAGGCTTAATTGTTTCATATAAACTGTTTGACTGAAATCCTATCCTGCTGATTAGCAAAGAATGTATGCTATACACAGTGTTCCTTTAGAAAGCACTATTTGAAAAGCTTAGGAAAATAAACAATAATAGCAAGAGCCTTTTTTCTCTGCCTTAACATGACCTGCTCACGAAGAAAATGTAACAGCAGATTGGAGAAGCAATTTCTTTCAAGGTACAGCTCAAACAGTAACTTAAGTGCCTTAAAAACAAGGCAATCGTACCATTTGTTACCTTGTGCACCTTCTGTGCCTAAGGAGAAACCTGGCTGGTAGAATATGGGTCTTATCCCACACTTGTGGAAGCAAAAGGGAGTTATTCCATTGATCTCAGTGGGCAGTGGATCAAGTCCATAGTTCCTTGGGTTCTGTACAGTGCTAAGTATCTCAGAGAGCTTTCACCTTTAAGAAAGCTTGTAGTAGCTTAATAATGAAAAATACTCGTAAGAATAAAGGTTTGAAACCATCAGCTTTCTCTTCAGGAACTCTTCCAGATTCCTAATCACAGAATCACAGAATCGTTTAGGTTGGAAGGGACCTCTGGAGATCATCTAGTCCAACCTCCCTGTTCAAGCAGGGTCACCTAGAGCATATTGCCCAGGATCACATCCAGACGGCTTTTGAATATCTCCAGCGAAGGAGACTCCACCACCTCTCTGGGCAACCTGTTCCAATGCTCTGTCACCCTCACAGTGAAGAAGTTTTTTCTCAGGTTCAGATGGAACTTCCTGTGGTTCAGTTTCTGCCCATTGTCTCTTGTCCTGTTGCTGGGCACCACGGAGATGCATCTCTGTATGCATCTCTGTAGCATCTCTGTAGCATCTCTGTATGCATCTCTAATGCATCTCTGTAGATCCCTGTCATGTTAGAAACTTTTCACACTATTTAAAAGTGTATTCATTTTGTACCCTGTCCGATCTCTTTTCTGTATTGTGAGAACATGAAAATTCTGTATACTTCAGCATTTGTTATAAAAATGGAGCAAATAAGCAGAATCACACCATACCTGGGGGCACCCAAAAATCATGGGCCTGTTCAGTCCTCTGAAAAAGCTGAGATGTCATTTCTGTGGGATTCTCTAGAATTTAACTGACTATGGAGGTTTAGAAGACCAATTAAACAAAAAGACACAATTTTTTCTTTCTACAAAGGCAGGCTCATTTTTATCATCTCCAGAATTTTCCATTTTCCTCTTAAATGCCTTCCTATTCATATTTTCATGCTTCAATAAAATTCACGAGTTCCTGCTAAGTCACAAACTAAGCGAAAACCCAGCTAAGACCTTCAATTCTTAGAATTCACTCAGATCTTTATACCAACAAGAATCACCATAATTATTACTAATACAAGTCAATATGCAAAACTAGACCCTGATCAACAGAATGCCCTTCTCCTTTTCCCCTCTCCAGTTTCTACTACAATTATTACTGATTTTTCATTGAAACACTCAGTACTGCATCTATGCAAGCGCCACAGTAAGACAAAGTCTATGCCATTCAGTGCTCCGCATCAGAAGATTACTTTAAATGTTTTCAAACAGAAGAAGCAAATCTAATGACTGATTCATCTCTGGACTGAGGTTAGCTATTTGCTGTCACTGACTAAAGTCTACCGTCACTAGTTCACGCCTTCAGTTCCAGGACCCTTCTTCTTAAAAGGAAGATCCATGAGGTTAGGACTTATTAATTCTAAAAAGACATAGTACTTAGGAGTGTACAGATTGAGAAAAGCAGCTAGTATACAGCCATACAGCTTCACCAGATGATGAATGACGTGAGTCAGCACCAACTTCGAGCAGCTGAAACCCCAGATCCATCTATATACACATTTTTCAGATTTTTCAGATTTTGAGCGTGTCCCACAAAATATGGACAAACGTGTCTCCTTAACTCACCTCTGACCAACTGATACATCAGACAGATTTATAAATGATGGGAATTCTACAACATTTACAGCAGGGTAGGCGTGCACAGGAACGAGTAATGTATCTTCTCCCTGCAAACGTGGTAAATATTAATTTCTTACACTGAATAAATGTTATGGAAAGTAAAAGTTTATATAGCATTTGGTCAGTGACTGGGTATGAAACACCTTCAAGATCATCACTGTGTCAGCTGAGGATATTGATATTCTGCTTGCTTTCAGTATCCATCTCTCTTTCTATACTTTCAGTAACTATCTAGAACATCTGCAAGCCTGCTCAGCTGAAACACTGCACCAGTAAAGCACAAAGACTGATCTATGGGCAAAGAATTACAAAAGGAGGAAGATATTCTCCCCGCAACACTGGGATATTTACAGTCTGAAAAATTTATGCTAAAAAATTTTGGGTACTTAAAATCAAAATACTCCAGTCCAGACTTTTTCATATAAACTCACGTGGCTCTAATAAGCAGTGCTTCATCATACATTTGTGGCAGATCTTTGAATCTTGGGAATTAATTGTACCTTTATTTTATCATTAGCATCGTGTCTTAACTGTTGTCTTATTCCATTAGAACTATATTTTCTTATAGTAAATCCTTACCTGGCAGTGAATTCGGATGCAGTCATAGTAGTACCGCCACTCATCAGGACAAAAATCAACAGTAACCACAAATGACAAGCCAGGGACAAGCCGGTGCTAGAAAATAACACAAAAAGAAGGTATGTGAAAGCCGCTCATATGAAACAAACACAGTGCTGTGTGCAAAGAGCAGTGTGAAGGTTTTCTGACACTTACTGTTTTGTTGTATTTGATCTGAAAATATTTTGTCTGCGGTGGTATAATGTGAAGGTTTATTACATCACCAGAAATATTTATCAGCTTCTGTAGAACAAAAGAAAACCAACAACCTAAACGCTTTACAATATGAGAGGTCGTTTGTGAATGCCTATTGTATATTTGAAACTATCCATAGCAAAGAAGTTATAGCAATCATTTCTACTTTGGTGGAAATAACTTTGAGTATGCTCTGAATTTAAAAAGAAAACTATTTAAACCTCGCAACCTACATTTTCAATCTTCGGAACAAAGTCATAGTTCTTTACTTAGGAAGAACTGCACCTTGTTCTATGTGAATTCCGCCTGAAATCAACAAGACTAATCTCTAAGGCAGAAGCCACGGTTGAATCACTCTGCTGCTTTTTTGTTTACATGCAAAAGGAACAAAAAATTTAACAACCCATTGACTTCCCTTTTACAAAGGTATGAAAGAACAGAAATGACTTAATATTCCACTGTTTTATTCTGGATCACAAAGTAACAAACCTTCGGACTGTGCCAGTTCAGCCTGCAAAGCCTCCTGCATCTTGTTTACTGTCTTTATACCTGGTCAACCTAGCTCATCATAGCCATCCAACCTCTGCCTCAAAGCACTTTCTATATGAACAAAGACAGACAAAAGGAAAAGCAGAGAGAGGGAAAGTAGATGCTCAAATTATTCATCAGGAAAGGGAATCAAACATGTATGTCCTGACTTTCTTTCCTTAGATCAAACTACACTTGCCAGAAAGCCAGAGGTACTTTCAAAATCTTCCCACCAGTGAACATGGCTGGAGCCACAAAGTCAGTCCAATATATTTTGATAGCAATCCTTTATGGATTTAAAGCAGGGATCCTTCATGAATGACTTGCAAGTCACATATCATTCTAACCCTGCAATGCCCACAGCATGGTACTTGTCCATGTTGTTACTTGTCTGTTTTGTTACCTCAGGGCCACTGATTTTAAGGGCTGCTTTACAGAGTACTCCACAGAGCAAGAGGATTCATGATCACGAGCAGTCTACTCAGGTTCTGTTATGCTTTTACAGGCCCCGAGAGGATCTCTGCTCTGACACTTACTAGCGTCTGTTGGTGATGTTTTCCAATTTCATACCCTCCGTAGTGTAACACAGCAGGCTCAGCCTGTATGACTTCATTCCTCTGAAGTTTTGAATAAATCTCTGGAAAGAAAGATAATGGAACAGGGAGAAAAGGAGAACAGGTGAAACAGACATGATTGTCACATTCATCTAGTGTGTTTATTTAGCACCCAACGCGTTATAGAGAGAAAACAGAGACAGACCTCATTTCTCCTGCTAAGACAGGATCTTGAGATGCATAACTAGTCGAATGGAACGTTAAAATGGCATCTGTCACCCCCGCAGGTTCATTATCCTGGGGCCAGTTTATCTCTGGACAAGAAGCGCAAGAAAGAGGATCCAGGGAACGACAGGTTAGTCACCCTTATATCTATCCCTGGGAAGGTGATCGACCAAATAATCCTGGAAACCATTTCCAAACACGTAAAGAACAAGCAGGTGATCGGGAGTAGTCAGCATGGATTTACGAAAGGGAAATCACGTCTGACCAACCTGATAGCTTTCTACAATGAGACGCCTGCCTTGGTGGACACGGGGAGAGTAGTGGATGCTGGTCATCTCGACTGCAGTAAGTCTTTTGACACTGTTTCCCAGAACATCCTCACTGACAAATCGATGGCGTATGGACTAGGTAAGAGGACAGTGAGTGGACTGAAAACTGGTTGAACTGCTGGGCTCAAAGAGTTGTGAACAGCAGCACGAAGCCCAGCTGCAGGCTAGTCATCAGTGCTGCGCCCTAAGGGTTGATACTGAGGTCACTACTGTTTAACATCTTCATTAATAATCTTGACTATGGGACAGAGCGTACCCTCAGCAAGTTCACAAATGGTACAAAACTGGGAGGAGTGGTCAACAGACCAGATGGGCGTGCTGACATTCAGAGGGACCTTGACACGCTAGAGAAATGAGCTGACGTGAACCTCACAAAGATCAGGAAAGGTAAAGTGCAAAGTCCTGGTGCACCTGGAGAGGAGAAAAATCGAAGCACCAGTGCAGGCTGGGGACTGACTGGCTGGAAAGCAGCTTGGCAGAAAAGGATGTGGGGGTCCTGGTGGACAACAGGTTGACCGTGAGCCAGCAATGTAACCCCGTAGCAAAGAAAGCCAAAGGCATCTGGGGCTGCATTAGGAAGAGTGCTGCCAGCAGGTCGAGGAAGGTGATCCTTCCCCTCTGCTCAGCAATGGTGAGCCCACACCTGGAGTGCTCTGTCCAGGTCTGGCCTCCTCAACACAAAGGAAACATGGAGCTACTGGAGCAAGTTCAGCAAAGGGCCACTAAGATGGTTAAGGGACTCGAGCATTTCTCATATGAGGAGCATCTGAGAGAGCTGGGACTGTTTAGCCTGGAGAAAAAAAGGCTCAGGGGGGATCTTATCAATGTGTTTCAATACCTGATGGGAGGGTATAAAGACAATGGAGCCAGACTCTTCTCGGTGGTATCCAGCGAACAGACAAGAGGCAACAGGCACAAACTGAGATACAATAAATTCCCTTTAAACATAAGAAAAATCTTTTTTTTATGGTGAGGATGGTCAAGCACTGGAACAGGCTGCCCACAGAGGTTGTGGAGTCTCCATCTTTGGAAACATTCAAAACCTGACTGGACATGGCCCTGAGCAACCTGCTCTAGGTGACTCTGCTTTTAGCAGGGGAGTTGAACGAGATGATCTCCAGAGGTCCCTTCCAGCATCAGCTATTATGTTATTCTGTGATGCTTGGCACAGTAACTTCACAACATCTAGCTCTTTATGGCTTCAACAAGACACCACAAAATTTAGAGGTCAGCCAGAACAGTATAAACATGACTGCTTTCCTGGCTGCCTCTCCTATGATTTGGACTCACAGGGAGCCACAGGTTAAGCAACAGAATGGGAGTTTTGCCTATGAACTGAAGAAAAAAAAAAGAAGTGCCTCCAAGGATTGCTTTAAAATTGGCGAACAGAGAGCAGAAACTCACTTGATTCCAGCAGGTGATTGGGGACAGCATGTCTTTTCTTAGGTTCCTCCACTAGGCTGTCCAGAAGGACGCTGGGTATTTTCTTGAAGGATTTCTCAGCGCTAGTGAATTCTTTAGAGGCTGATTGAACCACCTCCATGTTAGGACAGAAACGGAGTCCAAGGGGTACTGAAATATCTCAGCACCTGGGATCAAATCAAAATAACATAATGATGAAAGTGCCTTCCCTTGCACTGTAACACCTGTTGCCTAAAACTGTTTGCCCTTTAGGAAAGGGATCATATCCTGAGACCAGTTAAAATCCTTCCCTCCCACCTGCATAATGGATTTACTGTGTCTCACATTCTGGACCATAACTTGTAGGCAGAAGTACCAAATGGCTACGTGCCAAACATCCATCAAGGTGGGCATTAATAGAAGGTAAATTTCTGTTAACCCGAGAGCCAAGAGTCAAATCATGAGATAGACTCTACCGTTGTTATTCGTTTTGGCATTATAGACTCAAGATCCACTGTGGGACAGAGGCAACAGCTGTTTCCTCAGGTAGCCAAGCCCTGTGCTGTTGATGAATTTACTTAATCACCGAACAACGTAGAATCAACGCTCAGACATGTCGCACAAGTCTCATTTACAAGTGTGCAAAGCTTTCCCATGTCTACAAAGCTCCATGAAAAGTCAAGCCATCATACGGGGTAACTGTTTTGACTAGCAGTTGTTTCCAAAGAAGGCTCATGGTTACATCATTCACGGAAAGGCATGGCTGAACTGAGAAAAAGGCAAGCTGTAAAGCAACAATATACGCCAAAACTCTGCCACCACAGTTCCAAGTCCAGCTTGCAGTCAGAAATGACTCTTCATATAACATAAGCTATCTTGCACAAGTGGGTGGAGGTTCCAAAGACTGGACAAGATGCTCCAGTTATTACCCTCATTATACGCACACTTCCATGAGACCCTCGCATAGCTCTTGTACATGCCATATCCTGCCCTTACAGAAAGTAAATCCTCAGGGGTAGAGTTAGTGGTATAAGCCTGACATTTGGACAAGACAGGATACCTCTGAGCTGGCGTGCTGTGCCTAGGGCAACCTGATTCAGCCTCGCTTTCCAAAGTTCACAGGAAAGGGTTTGCCTACAGAGAGTGTGTGCGTGCTAAGTACATGTGTACATGGAAAGTAATTACAGCAAACATTGCTCTCACAGCATTCACTAGCGCTTTGGGCATTTTCGTCTGTGCTTGTGCTTATTGGGGATGTTTGGCCTTGAGGACTCTGCAAGTCTTCTCTCTCCCTTCATGTCCCCCAGCAGAGAGAAGGGAGAAAAGGTTCTTCTAATAATTGCACTATCCAAACTGACTTCTGTAGAGATGCTTTTCCAATCTCTCCTGTATGTTGGGGTTGTTAACTTGCAGATTCCTCTTCAGTTTTCAAATATTAGTATGAGAGATAAGAAAATTGGCATTTGAATTTTTTGTTTAGATACCATCAGCTGGGTTATTTGTTTGGCAAAGATAACTCTAAACCCAGAAGGCCAAGGGCATTATAGATCCTGTGTTAAGTAAGCACAGCTATCAGAACATAAACTTATCTAATGACAAGTGCAAATATTATGCAATAAGGAAACCAGACACAACCCATCCACAAAGAATTATCTTCCTAAATATAGCACATAGGCCTTAGCCCTCCTGTGACCTGCTGCATGGTGGAAAGGGCAAGATATTTTTGGCAAAAGTACTGAGTTCAAAAGCAGCCATGCCAGATTATTCATCCCTCAGAAAGCCTCATTTTGAACGGAAAGGTAGATGCACAGCTCAGGATGGTGCTGCATTAATAGCAAAGCACCCTTAAATCCATGCAAAACTAGACACAATATAGGTTCTTACCAGGTTCTTGCTGTAAGGCACCTTCTTGCTCCCGGAGCACTGGCACAAAAGCTGATGAGCTGCTTGGAAAACAGAGTTAGGTTGTGTGAGTCACTATAGAGGGCAGCACTTTAAGATCCAGCAGTTCCAAAGTTGAATCTTCAGTATGAAAACTCAAAACTACTTGTGCTGTGGTTTCCCACTCTCATACAGGCTTCTATGGCCTTAAAAGACCCCAGTCTGAAATAACAGTAGTCAAAAAAGGTTTGAGGGAAGAACGGCAGAGGGAAACATCACAAGGATGCCCAACATAGTTACTGGGGTCAGTTCTGTTCAGGACGGAAGTGACTCACTCCCTCTTCCCCCATCGCATTTTGTGGTCTCATGTCTGGTATCTGTCTGTTTTTGCTTTAGATCTTTCAGGCAGGAGTTGTCAGGTTTCTCAAGCTTATAAAGTGTTGTTTGATTTATGGCCTTGTGTAATACTAAATAATAAATAAGCAAGAAACTTAAAATCATGTGCTATGAATACTGTGGCCTTAATAATTTTTTCTACTCCATGGCTTTACATACAACTTTTCCACATGCAATAGAAAAATCTGTAGGAGGAACTTCATTACTGTGCACAACGGTAACTTTGTCCTGAGGTAGTAACTGAGCCCAACCAAACTTAGACAAACGCATGCTAAAGTAATTATAAACATAAGGCCTACATTCTTTCCACTCATGTTGTTCAACTCTTCTTAACTTTAATTTATAAAACTGCCATCCTCCCTCACTTGGTCAGCATTCCCCATTAGGAATACAAGTTTTGAAAAGCTGGAGACAGCCTTATACTAGCAAAATATTATTTCCAGTGTAATCATATCAGTAATTTAAAATGATGCTACTACCATCATCACTCACCAGCTTTAACAACGCACTGCAGTACTCCTCACTACGAGAGGGCTAATACTGCCTGACTGTTTATGACACCAAGGTCCTGGAATTGCCGACTGACAGGCACACGTTCCTAAGCTTCCCAGGATACCCGGGGCTGTGTTTAGGACTGCATTTTTTGTGCAAAACCATCACTAGGAGAACTTTGCAGCTCTGAAGCCCTAGTTCCATTGAAGGCAACGGCAGAAAACGCCCCAGTTCGCTGAGGTGAGGGTATCACCCTTCCTCTGCCAAGCCGTGAGCTTTCTAATCCCTTTGCGTTTCACAGCTCGTGGCACGCTCCACCACCATGAAGAAGCAAAGGATACGACTGAACGCATGAGACCTACAACAGCACCTACGTGCTTTGTGAGCAGCAGAGAGCACGCTTTCAAGGCCCTCTCTAGTTTAGCCCACGCTAAGAGTGCGCACCTTCCAAACCAGCGCTCGTGCCGGCACAAACCACCCCCCTGACCTCCAGCCCCCAGTGACACAAACCCTTCCGCCCCCATCCACCCCCTCGGGTGCCGCCGAGACGAGCTCTGCCTCCGGCTCGGCCCCGCACTCACCTCAGCGCCGGCCCC